GAGAGAGAGGTTGTGGTGGATTATGTAGTTGTGCTGGAATATATTTGCAGACAGTGTTTCCATCGCAAGAACTGCGGTTATTTGGTCGTGAGTAGCAAAACACTAGATCTAGTTTACTCTGAAAATTGCCATTAAATGTTTGAAACACGAACATTTCTAATACAGTCGAACCTGCGCAAACAACCACCTGATTAAGACAGTCACGTGTACAAAAAGCCCCTTTCCACCCCACCGCCCATCCCCCCCCCCAACCCCACTGTTTTGTTTTTGTTTTTCATTACACTGGCATTGTGTACGACGGAAACCTTTCTAAGACGACCACTTTTCTCCTCAACAACGGGTGGCTGTCTTAGACAATTTCGACACTATTTTAAAAATCCACATAAATTTTAAGGCTCTGCACTATAAAGAAATCGATCTTAGACTTTCAATACAGCCGGTGTTGAGAATTCTCGACAAAAGACACGTCAATTGCTTATTAAGTGAATGATGACTTACTCGTGAGGAGAATGTTCTATAAGAGACGGGGCATACAGGAGGACATGAATAGGTTTTGTTGTAGAATTTTCAATAGGGCTGTGTAGTACACATCCTAGCAAAACGATGGTGAAAATGAACATTATTTCTCCTTTATTCGAAATCTAATTTGTGCCTCTTACGAGCAAATGGTTGAATCTAATCATAATAATATTGTTACTGGGCTGGAAGGGCTTTGGTCGCACATTGGACCTCCTCTAAAACAAACACAAAAAACCCAAACCCAGAAAAAAATCATTATAAGAGAAAAGAAAAGAAAATCGGACTAAAAGAAAAACATTTGGCTGTGGACACGCGTCTTTAAAAACACCAGTAAATACTACATGACAAAAGGAAATGTTTGTGACCGAGAAATTAATTTAAGTCTTCCCCGATATCAACGTCTTGTCCGAGATGGATTACAACTAGATCTACTGGTTGTCTACCATTTCATAGTTAGTGCCTTTTCTTGTCACAGAGGTTATAGTTTTCTAACTTTTCTTAACACTAAGTTTTCTTACTGCCCATCTACATGTACATGTGTTTCGAAGCGGGACATTATAACAGTGGTCACTATTCGGGTGATCCCTAACGCCCACCAAAACTAGCAAATCGCCTACTTGTGGTATTACCAACCAGGCTGGGAAGCACTGGATTCAAACGAAAGTCGATACAGATTTAGGTTGGAGTCTTCAATCACGCATGAAGTCATAGCAATCACTGCGTTGACCCAATAGAGGGTGCAGACTCACAGAGAACATAATAGGTCAAGTAAATTCCAATTAGAGACCTCAACTAAACCTTCACCCGGAAGTCTTCTAAAAGGTCGAGTTTTCAACTGAAGTGATTCAAATCCTGAAGTTCTTGAATTCTAGAAACAAGCTGCGAATAGAGGATTTAAATCGAAGAATCACGCGGTAAAGTTCCATCTCAAGTAAAGCATTTCTTAAATGCCGCAATGGGTTAAGTTACATAAAAGAAACGACTGGTATTGCAACACCTGCATTCTAAATATGTACTGATATTTGTTCTACTCATTCAGGATCCTCTTGTTTCTTTAATTAAAGGATAAGGCAAATTCAAACCCTGAGCTTCCGCGTTATGTAAAAGATATCGGAATGGGGCATTGGCAAAAAACAAAAAACAAAACAAAAACCAACTAATAAAAACATTTCTTGAGTGTAAAGGATACGACAATGTATATTTTTTGGCTTCGCAAAAGAAAAAAAATCGCGTTGCGTACGAACGATTTTGCATCTGTTACAGAGCGTGTATGTATGCATGTAGTTGGTGTATGCATGTATGCGTGTAAGCGTCTCTCTCTCTCTCTCTCTCTCTCT